TGTAACATGGTGGATGGTATCCACTATTAGTTAGAATGATGATGGTTTATTGTACTATTTTAGATAATAGTTGCTGTCCACTGTGAGTGGGTGGTCTCTTAGAATGATAGGGTACCTCAGTGGTTGATGATACAGTATTCGTTAGCTTAGTAGAAGCGGTGCGCCTGTGCGTACGGTTTGCCGCTATGCGCATGCGCGAATGATAGGTTGCTGCGCGCATGCACGGCACTTATTATAGTACGCATGCGCGGGCTATTGTTGCGAGCAGCGGTGACTATGACGCCTACGGGGCGTATTGTTAAAGGCGCGCGCTTGCCAGTGAGTAAAATAGCGATTATAGACGCCAGATATAGTGTGAGCATACTTACTGTTTGTATATGTACTAGAGGTTCGTTATCAGAGCAGTAATATTTATCATTATTTTAGGTTATATGACTTTCGTTACTCTGTGAATGTCTTTAGTGCACACAATTGATTCTGATATGATATTACTATGTTACTATTGAAATATTGTGCCAGCACTTGAAGTGATGATGTCCCTTCCGGAGTTGCTAGCAACCTTATGCTGATGGCCATCAGCTGTAAGAGGGCTTTATAAGCAGGCACATCTGAACATGGATACAGGTACCCTTGATCAAGGCAGCCAGTTGGTGCCGAAACGTTGGGGGGTTTGGTAACTCGTGTTTCTGTCTTGTAAGAATCTTTATGGTATTTTACCATTACTTTATTGTATTTGCCCTTGCTTCTGTCATTGTGTTTATTTATTTTCATAATTGTTTAATGTCTGCATTCCAATTATTTAAACTAAATATTAATAATGTGAAGTTGTATAATAAAATGGTACTTACCCGGTCCGCGTGCCGGCAGGGGTCCTCCGATCGAGCTGCACGCGACTCGAGCACTCTTGGATCCAGGCACCAAACAGTCTGCTCGTTCCGTACAGTATTGGCAGTCCGCTCCCATTGGCCCACGTCATTCCGGCGCCCCCATTCACGTAGATATTGGGGCGCAGGCATGACGTGGACCAATCATATTAAGAATAAAAGTATTTAAACTTATCTGGCCCTAGATTCTAAGCCCTATTGTGGTTTTTGTTCCAAGTGCCCTTTAATGCGTTCCTAGTGGTTTGTATTGTATTCTGGTATCGACCTTGGCTTTGTTTCCTTTGCTGTTTAGCCTTCTGATTATTACCGTGTACCTGACTCTGGCTAGTTCTCATTTTCGCTGTCTGTTACCCTGACCTCGGCTCGTATTTCGACTACGCTTTGTTTTGTCTAAGGGCCGGTAAGACGATTATATTTATTTAGTCTGTTCCTTGCAGTCCTAAACTCTGCGTGACAGGGTTATACTCTGTGACATCTCAAGATCAGGGTTCGCTGACTGATTGTGATGGCTTTCTACCTTAAAGTCTTTCTACCCTTAAAGTCATTAAAACTATCCACCCGGCCCCCCTGTTTTTATTAAAAATTCAAAAATGGAAAAAAAATTACTACAAAAGTCCATAAGAAACACTGTGTAAAGCTGCAGGCAGACCCTCCCACAAATAATTAACTTGTATGTCATAAACACAGAAGAAGGTGACAGGACAAGCAGTTTCATTTACCTGTAAGGATGAGGGAACTACTCTGTAAACTGATAGCAGCAATACTGTGAGTTGAGCCGCAAGGCTACTGTGAGTATAGCGGCACGGCTACTGTGAGTACCCCAGCATGGCTACTGTGAGTTACTCGGCACGGCTACCGTGAGTACCGAGGCACTGCTATCGTGAGTACCGCTATATGGCTACTGTGGGTACCACGGCATGGCTACTGTGAGTACCACGGCATGGCTACTGTGAGTACTGCAGCACGGTTACTGTGAGTATAGCGGCACGGCTACCGTGAGTACCACAGCATGGCTACTGTGAGTACCCCAGCATGGCTACCGTGAGTACCCCAGCACGGCTACTGTGAGTATAGCGGCATGGCTACTGTGAGTACTGCGGCACGGCTACCGTGAGTACTGCGGCATGGCTACCGTGAGTACCCCAGCACAGCTACTGTGAGTATAGTGGCAGTGCTACTGTGAGTACTGTGGCATGGCTACTGTGAGTATAGAGGCATGGCTACCATGAGTACCGCGGCATGGCTACCATGAGTACCGCGGCACGGCTACCCTGAGTACTCCAGCACGGCTACCATGAGTACTTTGGCACGGCTACTGTGAGTAACCCTGCACGGCTACTGTGAGTACTGCAGCATGGCTACCGTGAGTAGCGCAGCACGGCTACCATGAGTACCGGTTCACTGTTTAGGTCTTGGCAGCAATATCACCATAAAGTATTACTGGCAGATTACATTTACCTGTATTTCACCAAGATGGTGAATTGCCAGATAGCGACTAATGCCTACCTTTAACAACTTTATGTAGACTTCCACCATAAAGACTTCACAGCTGGTCCCTACCTTTAAAGTAACACTCCAGCATTAAAATAAATACATTTATTTCCAATATTGGAGTGTCCCCCTGCAAATTTATATTTCAGTCCTCGCATTCCATGAAAAATACATAAATTGCTTCGCTGTAATGTAGCGCCAAGACAATCTTCTTGCACAACGCCACTTGATCCCCTAGGGGCTCCTCACTAATAAGTGATGATGTCACTTGCGGAGTTGGTAGAACATTATCAGTAGAACAATCTTAGTATTTTCATGGACATGCACAGGGCCCAACGGCACCAATCGAATGCTACTGAGAGAGAGTCATGGTATCCACCCTTTCATGAGAAGCATTGATTTCTGCTCTAAGTGAGTACGCAGAGCGCTTCTGCATGTATGACTGACAGCTGGGAAGTTGCACTTTAGTTTATTTATAAAACTGGCGTTTTCTCTTGAAATCTTTCTGTCTTATAACCGATTTTGCCTTTTTAGCTGAAGACAGCAAAGTTAATTTTTAGTGTAGGACTCACCTAAGAGGTTTGCCTTGATGTGACAGGTGAGCTTACACTTAAATGGCCATTAGAGTTATACTAAAAACCTTCATTTATTTGAATGTGCATAGGGATTTGGAATAGTGCGCAAGTAACTTATTTTTATTTTAATACAATAGACTTTTGCATTTCGTTTCAAATGAATTGAATTTGCCCACGTTTTGGGCGATCGGTGGGTTGTCCAAATTCCGTATCTTGGGATCGCCATATGGATGTATCAGGAAGCAAACAACAAGGACAATGACCAACTAGGTTCATTTGGCCATAACAGTACTTGGAAAAAACAGTAAGTTCTGCAAAAACATCTCTACGTAAAGCCACATCCACATTTATGAGGTCCGTTAAGCACTCACATGGATTCTGAAGGCCGTGGTTAGATCACCAAAGGATATGCATTCAAAGAGAAACCCCTAACTGCAAAACCCAGGTCCCCCTACAGGACATCCAGGTAAAAAAAACAGAAACATTTATTGAAAAAGCTTTTAAGAAAAAAAAATCAAAGCTCATAGCAACAGAAAAGGTAAAAATATTGAATATTGTTTCACATGATCAAAACCACCATTAAATGAGCAAAGAAACTTGTTAACGGTCATCTGAGGCATCTAACGCACCCTCAAAAATGTATCAGCCCAAGTCTGTATCTTTGGTGAAAGTCATGAAAAATACTGAGGGGAACTAAATGGCTCACATGGACACTCAAGGCATACATACGCCCATTATGAGTAGGAAAATAAGACACTACATCCAGGAAGTGATACCTGAATTCGATTAAACTCCATCCTGTAGTAAAACCAACCAAAAACTAGTGATAGTTATGGTTAAAGGATTAGGTAGTCATCATAAGTAAGAGTTGGGATAAGGGATAAAATTAGGTTTAGGGTCTAAGCCTAATTCCAAGTCTTATTCTAACCCTAGCCTTACAACCGAAAGCCAACTCTTAAATGTAGCGTGTATCTTAGTGTTTGACTGTCCCTGATCCTAACCCTAACCCTAAATGTCATGTTTATTGCCGCTTATTCTTATGGATCATTAGTTGGCTGGTTGTTTATTCAATACTGAAAGTACGAAGACGGAGGCAATCTGTCTTTTTCATTACTGAAAAGGACTTGTCTCGAATTTGGCTCTATAATTTCATCTGGTAACCATATATACTGGGGATTGCCGTGCTGGTAGGGACAGAGCTAATCAAAAATGTTTATTTACATCACAACACATGTCAGGCTTTCACAAGCAAAACCAAATGTATGTGTGAAAATGACAGAAAAGTAATACAAAAAATGGACAGATATTTGTAATAAAACGGTGAAATGAACTTGATAAAAACTCATGTGATAAATCCTGTGATATATTTGGGGTGGATACTTCGTAACAATATAGACATGTGTATAGAATTTGTACGGCAGGATTGGGCTAAGGGACCCATGATAAAATGACTGACGTAACGTACCATAGTTTAAAAGTGGATTAATTTACATAATAAAGCACCCTTTTAATATGGTGCCCAGAATTGCCAAAATAAATGAAAAAACAATTGCATAAGAGGCGTTCGTAATATCAGGGCAGATACGTTCGTTTGTTTATTTAGATTGTTTTGGGGTGTTAGCTGCTCTAGTTTGTGTGCTAATTATGAATAATATTAAAATAAAAGAATTGAGGAAAAAATATATTTTTGGTTTGTTGTTTATCTTTTTTTTTTATCTTAATCAAACAAAATAACTACTTAAATATGTATTTATAGGACAGAAAAAGATTTAGTTATAATGCAATATGAAGTTTTTTTTGTAGGATTTGTCTTAAAGTACAGAATAACTCTTAGAATAGGACTGACTTCCAGTGTGTACATGCAAAATCGGCCTGGTGCTCAAAGGGTTAAGTGGCACATGTGTTATAAAATCATAACTTTACAGATGTCTCAGATTCAGGAGACATGCTGGGTGCCCTTTTAACACACCTCTCCGTTCTTGGAATTAATTTTGAAAGGAGATCTGTAGAACATACCTAACATATTATACAACGCCAATCACACCCATCCCAGGTCACACAGTAACAAGAAAGACATGGTTTTCACAGCTTCATCATGTATGCTAATGAGCTAGGGTTTGGCTGTTATATAAATCACACATTGGGCATTATTCGGGCACTTGGAGAACCTCTCTCATCCAATATGAAAGGATTTACTCTGCTCCTGGCAAGTCTGGCCTTATGGTTTAATCCTGGTAAGAATCTGGATTCTCTTTTATTTTTTCAATCTTTGTATCTTTATACGATTCATTTCTCGCAAATCAAGAAATAGAATTTGCTTTGATATCGTGTGTCCTGGAGGCAAGGTGACGTGTTTAAAGAGGTGCCAGTTTGACATTACAGTTTGTATCCGTACATTGTTATGGGTTTAGTTAAATATTGTAATAACTATTAATCCTTTATAAGTGACTTCCATTGAATTTCCAGTTAGAATGAGATCTTGCTATAGACTATAGTATAAAAGTTGAGTTTCTGCCAAGTATGGCAGCAATAGAAGCATATTTTATTTTTGTAATGGTTCAAACATCACAGCAAATGTTGCTGTAAGTACTGCCTTTTCTGAGAAAAGGCAGTGTATTCATTGTTCCGTAGGGACACCTCCAGTGGCAGTCACTCAGATGGCCACTAGTGGTGCTTCCTGTTGTGGAGCAGTGACGTTCAGCGTCTCCATGCTCTGCATTTAGGCGCTGAACTTTCCCCAAAGAGATGCATTGATTCAATGCATCTCTATGTGAAAGAATTGGATTGGCTGAGATTGTCAATGCTGATGATCTCAGTCAAGGAAGCGGACCGGGGCAGGGACAGCACGGCGCTGGAATAAAGGTGAGTTTTTATCATATTTAAGGAGGTCAAAGGGGCCTTACATGGCTTGTTAATACTATAGGGTCAGGAATACAATGATCATTTGATGTAGGATAATGCATTTTATGATAACGATTAAAGAGAAGTCTAAAGTCAGTAAGCACTCGTTAGGGATAATAAAAAGGTGAAAAATGTTTCTTTACACTAAAAGCAATAAAATGTGGAATTCACTTAAAAAATATAACAAACATTCTGTAGATATTTATTTTTTTAAATTATGCTTTTTGGGAAAACTGAATATGGAAATATATAATAGTTAACATGTGGGGTAAGAGTTTTTTGATCCAGAGAAACCTGATTGCCTTTTTGGAATCAAGAAGGATTTTGTTACCGATTTATGGCACAGATAGCACTCGCTTGGAAAAAAAACATTGAAGTATGAAAGGCTGAACAATGACATATTCACAGTTTGTTTCTGTTTAATTACCCCATTGTACAGCGCTACGTAATCTGATAAATGATAAACTAATAATAATTACGCACTTTAATTAAACCAGTATGTACTTTAATATAACCACCATGTATACTGTTTTATTTTTAGCTTGGTCCCTTGAGTGCTTTTTTTGCTTGACACAAACCAACGCACCATCATGTGTGCAAACGCAGACCTGCGCAGAAAATGAAAAAGTTTGCAAAACGATAGAATACAGCGCGCCGACCAGTGAGTATTGTACCCGCTCTGTTCATATCTATGCACTGTGTACAAGTGATACACACCGCCTGCTCTGCATGCCTTTCTCTGTAGAACAGGTGATTGTATTCCAAACTGAAATTTTGGGGCCCTTTACAAAACACTGGCCCGGCCCCACCAATGCATTCTCTCCCAGAACATAGTACTCGTGCAAAAACACAGTCACATAATCACTTTAAAACGCGAACGAAGACTCACACACACCAACACACATATACACACAGATATATACTGACATAAATTAACATGTTCCTTCAATCAGTATCTTAAGTCAATACTTAACGAATCAGAAATTACTAAATGTGCAATTAATTTCATTCCGAATTCAAAATTCAGACGAATTTCGGCAATTTCGGCATTTGGATGCTTCCGAATATCCAAATTGCCGAATTTCCAAAATGCGAAAGTGATGAATTTCTGAAGTGCCGAACCGAATTGACAAAGTGCCGAATTGCCAAAGTGCCAAATTTTAGAAGTGCCGAACCAAATTGACGAAGTGCGGAATTTCGGAAGTGCCTCGGAATTCTGAAAAGTGGCAAAACATTAGAGGGAGGGAAAATTATGGGAATGATGACAGGAATCTAACCCTACCCTTAACCCTACACCTAACGGTAATCCTAACCGTAATCCTTACCCTACCCCTAACCCTACCTCTAACCCCTTACCCTACCCCTAACCCTACCTCTAACCCCTTACCCTACCCCTAACCCTAGATGTGTAAGTGGTTGTGGTGGTTAGGGGTTAGGATTAGGGGTAAGGGTTAAGGGTAGGGAATTGTCGAGTCACGAATTGCTGAAGTGCCAAAGTCACGAATTTCAGAAGTGCAGAACCGAACCGAATATTTTGCCCATGCACATACCTATAAAATAATTGTATTATTGTTTGCAACTATATATCCACAAACTATATTAATAATATACCAGGTTTCCACGGGAAGGCTATTCCAGGTATCTACTACCATTTCTATATCACTGTTAGCCTTTGCTGCTGCCACAGGAAGGTTATTCCAGGTATCTACTACCCTTTCTATATCACTGTTACTGTTTTCACTGGAAGGTTATTCCAGGTATCTACTACCCTTTCTATATCACTGTTACTGCTTCCACTGGAAATCTATTCCATGTATCTACTACCCTTTTTATATCACTGTTACTGCTCCCACTGGAAGGCTATTCCAGGTATCTACTGTCCTTTCTATATCACTGTTACTGCTTCCACTGGAAGGCTATTCCAGGTATCTACTACCCTTTCTATATCACTGTTACTGCTCCCACTGGAAGGCTATTCCAGGTATCTACTGTCCTTTCTATATCACTGTTACTGCTTCCACTGGAAGGCTATTCCAGGTATCTACTACCCTTTCTATATCACTGTTAACCTTTACTGCTTCCACTAGAAGGCTATTCTAGGTATCTACTACCCTTTCTATATCACTGTTACTGCTCCCACTGGAAGGCTATTCCAAGTATCTACCACCCTTTCTATATCACTGTTACTGCTCCCACTGGAAGGCTATTCCAGGTATCTACTACCCTTTCTATATCACTGTTAGTCTTTACTGCTTCCACTGTAAGGCTATTCCAAGTATCTACTACCCTTTCTACATCACTGTTACTGCTCCCACTGGAAGGATAATTTGTGCATATCACTATTAACTACATCTACTTCAACTGTAAGACTATCTTTGCATCAAAGATTTGAAGTCAATGCATATTTTATTTATTCATTTAGATATATGAAAACAACTATAAATACAAAAAATGCTGTATTTAAAATACTGAAAGATATTAATTTCAGGTTAACTGTTTGAGTGCCAGAGATCTACCCTTTGAAAGCTTGTTTAAATAAACATTTAAGGACCACTATAGAGCCAGGAAAACATACTCGTTTTCCTGTCACTATAGTGTCCTGAGGGTGCCCCCACCCTTAGGGTCCCACTCCCGTGGCGCTGAAGGGGTAGGAAGGGCGTTAATCCTTTACCTTTTTTCCAGCGCCGGGCTCCCTCGGCGCTGGGACTCTCATCCCTCTTCTTCCGTCATCGGCTGAATACGTATGCGCGGCAAGAGCCGTGCGTGCCTTCAGCCGTCTCATAGGAAAGCATTATCAATGTTTTCCTATGGACGCTGGCGTCTTCTCACTGTGAAAATCACAGTGAGAAGCGCAGAACCGCCTCTAGCGGCTGTCAATGAGACAGCCACTAGAGGCTGGATTAACCCATAGGTAAACATAGCAGTTTCTCTAAAAATGCTATGTTTACTGCAAAAAGGGTTAAACCTAGCTGGACCTGGCACCCAGACCACTTCAGCTTAATGAAGTGGTCTGGGTGCCAGGTCCAGCTAGGTTTAGCCTATAGTGGTCTTTTAAAGGGACACTCCTGACCTCTAAAGCACTTTAGCTTGCTTTAAGTATGAAGAATATGTCACCTTTTTTATTTTACAAAAAGTTCAGATTTCAATAGAAATTGGCACTTTTATAAATTAACCTTGTAACACCCCCTGGCTATCAATCAGACAATCGGTCTTGTTACTTCCTGGTTTGGTTAGCTCAGTGGAACTAAACTCAAAAGGCCACAACTGCCCAGAGCACCTGCCTTGCAAAGACTTTTCAGTGAGCTGCATTGGGAAGTCTGTGATTGGACAGCCACAGAAAGTCTGGGCGGGGTTAGAAGGGGAGGGCTTGTAAATGCTGTAGACAAGAGAACTGCAGCTATTGCAAGCTAGTTTTAGATATATCCGCAATGAAAAATACATAATTAAATGCATGCATGTTTTCATTAAGGGTTTATATACTAAACTGGGATTTATATTTTATTTTTTGTACTTGGACAGCAGAGTGTCCCTTTAAACTGATTAAGCCATTTTTTTCATTGCCTTTCAGCATTTCCTTTCGATGCTCCTTACGTGGTCGTTAAGGGCTGTGCAGTAAGCTGCAAGCAAGATGATCCCGATGAGCTGGGAACAGCCCAACCTACTTTTTGCTGTAACACAGATTTTTGCAACACCAGAGGGCTCGATAACACGTGTTCGGGAACCATAAATTTCTCGCTCAGCCTAGGACTATTTATGTGTTTTATTAGTGTAGTGCTGGTGTTCTTTAGAACGCACCTGTAATAATCCATGGTGTTTTTACAGTGTGCTGAGCATCAAATATAGATCAACGACAAAAGAACAATGATGTATGTATGGACTAATCACGGCTCCGACAATGGACGAACAGTTTCTTTTTTTTGTGAGTTCGAGTTCCGCTATCGGTGCAAAAGAAATTTGATGGCTGATGGTAAAAAAAACTTTCATGATTAGGGGGAGACACTAATTGTATTCACAAATCAAGTGAGAACTTAGCAATAAAGGGGAAAGGCAGGAGCAGGAAAACAGCTATACTCATATACAGCGCTACGGAATGTGATGTCACTATATAAATACAATAATAATAATATAGTATATATTATATAAATATAGATTTATTTGTTTTACTTCTCCTCCTTTTGTTTTCTTTATGGCCCCCCACTATGCTTATCGGTAATATTTATATTTTGCAGAATACTGATTGGCCCATTGTGACGCCTTGCTCGTTGGTCCACATAGATGAATCCCAAAGTTACCGGCATTCATTTTTATTTTTTTCGGATGAATCAATTCAGACAAACTAAAAAAAAAAATGTCACTATAGTCAAGTCTAGTGTATATATTAAAAAAAGCTTATCTTTAAATAACATTCTTAGAGTAAATGTGCTGGTATATAATGTGCTTGTTACTATATAATATTGTATATTACTGTTATATTTGCAACATTTGTACAATCTATAACTAGAACCTCTCGTCAATTCTGAATGATTTATCCTTAGCAGCTTCTAACCAGTCCAAAGAGTTGACCTTGCTTAACGCAGTGCCACGATAGAAGAGACAGTCTAGGAGTAGACCATGAGGATAAACCAGAACGATAGAGTATCATGGAATCGAGAAAAGAAACCAAAGTTGAAGGAATCAAAGGACAGTATAATCGGACTACCCAGGTCAGACACCAAAAAGGACAATCAGAAAGAAAACGCAGGTTCTGATTTAAAAACAGAAACCAGAAGAGGGCAATTATTATTATTATTTATATAGCGCCAACAAATTCTGCAGCGCTGTAGAATTGGTGGACTAACAAACATGTAGTTGTAACCAGACAAGTTAGACACACAGGAACAGAGGGGTTGAGGGCCCTGCTCAATGAGCTTACATGTTAGAGGGAGTGGGGTATAGTGACACAGTAACAGAGGGATTGAGGGCCCTGCTCAGTGAGTTTACATGTTAGAGGGAGGGGGGTATAGTGACACAGTAACAGAGGGATTGAGGGCCTGCTCAGTGAGTTTACATGTTAGAGGGAGTGGGGTATAGTGACACAGTAACAGAGGGATTGAGGGCCCTGCTCAGTGAGTTTACAGTGAGGAGGTGGCAGTACACAGCAACAGAGGATTGAGGGGTCCTGCTCAATGTGAGTTTGGCATGTTAGAGGAGTAAAGTATAGTGACACAGTAACAGAGGGATTGAGGCCTGCTCAGTGAGTTTACATGTTAGAGGGAGGGAGCATAGTGACACAGCTACAGGGGGATTGAGGGCCTGACAGTGAGTCACATGTTAGAGGAGGGGTGGCAGGACAGTAACAGAGGATTGGGAGGGCCTGCTCAGTGAGTTTACATGTTAGGAGGGAGTGGGGGTATAGTGACACAGTAACAGAGGGATTGAGGCCTGCTCAGTGAGCTATGTTAGGAGGGAGGGGGCAGGACACAGTAACAGAGGGATTGAGGCCCTGCCTCCAGTGAGCTTTACATGCTAGAGGAGTGGGTATAGTGACACAGTAACAGAGGGATTTGAGGGCCCTGCTCAGTGAGTTTACATGTTAGAGGGAGTGGGGTATAGTGACAGTAACAGGGGGATTGAGGGCCCTGCTCAGTGAGTTTACATGTTAGAGGGAGTGGGGTATAGTGACACAGTAACAGAGGGATTGAGGGCCCTGCTCAGTGAGCTTACATGTTAGAGGGAGTGGGGTATAGTGACAGGAACAGAGGGGTTGAGGGCCCTGCTCAGTGAGCTTACATGTTAGAGGAAGTGGGGTAAAGTGACACAGTAACAGAGGGATTGAGGGCCCTGCTCAGTGAGTTCACATGCTAGAGGGAGTGGGGTATAGTGACACAGTAACAGAGGGATTGAGGTCCTGCTCAGTGAGTTCACATGCTAGAGGGAGTGGGGTATAGTGACACAGTAACAGAGGGATTGAGGGCACTGCTCAGTGAGCTTACATGTTAGAGGGAGTGGGGTATAGTGACACAGTAACAGAGGGATTGAGGGCACTGCTCAGTGAGCTTACATGTTAGTGGGAGTGGGGTATAGTGACACAGTAACAGAGGGATTGAGGGTCCTGCTCAGTGAGCTTACATGCTAGATGGAGTGGGGTATAGTGACACAGTAAAAGAGGGATTGAGGGCCTGCTCGGTGAGCTTACATGCTAGAGGGAGTGGGGTATAGTGACACTTTAACAGAGGGAGTGAGGGCCCTGCTCAGTGAACTTACATGTTAGAGTAAGTGGGGTATAGTGACACAGTAACAGAGGGATTGAGGGCCCTGCTCAGTGAGTTTACATGTTAGAGGGAGTGGGGTATAGTGACACTTAAACAGAGGGAGCGAGGGCCCTGCTCAGTGAACTTACATGTTAGAGGAAGTGGGGTATAGTGACACAGTAACAGGGGGATTGAGAGCCTGCTCAGTGAGTTTACATGTTAGAGGGAGTGGGGTATAGTGACACAGTAACAGAGGGATTGAGGTCCTGTTCAGTGAGCTTACATGTTAGAGGGAGTGGGGTATAGTGACACAGTAACAGAGGGATTGAGGGCCCTACTCAGTGAGTTTACATGTTAGAGGGAGGGGGGTATAGTGACACAGTAACAGAGGGATTGAGGGCACTGCTCAGTGAGTTTACATGTTAGAGGGAGTGGGGTATAGTGACACAGTAACAGAGGGATTGAGGGCCCTGTTCAGTGAGCTTACATGTTAGAGGAAGTGGGGTATAGTGACACAGTAACAGAGGGATTGAGGGCCTGCTCAGTGAGCTTACATGTTAGAGGAAGTGGGGTATAGTGACAGTAACAGAGGGATTGAGGGTCCTGCTCAGTGAGTTTACATGTTAGAGGGAGTGGGGTATAGTGACACAGTAACAGAGGGATTGAGGGCCTGGTCAGTGAGTTTACATGTTAGAGGAAGTGGGGTATAGTGACACAGTAACAGAGGGATTGAGGGCCCTGCTCAGTGAGTTTACATGTTAGTGGGAGTGGGGTATAGTGACACAAAAAGTAAAGATAGTATTAGGGAAGTAGACTGGTAGAATTGTATTCACTGAAGACTTAGTGTGGTTTTTGAATTATTATTTTTTTAATGACAGTTGCAAGAGAGAAATCAGTCGGGCGCTATTAATAGTTTCATTGATACACTTTTGAAAAAAGTGAGTTTTTAATAATTTTTGTTGAAGGGGTGGAGACTGGGTGATCATCTAACGGAGGAGGGAAGCGAGTTCCACAGAACGGTGCAGCCCTAGAGAAGTCTTGGATACAAGCTTCAGAGGTGGGAGTACGAAAAGAGGATAAACGCAAGTCTTCGGCAGAGCGTAGGGGCCTCGATGGGACATACTTGTGTATTAGAGAGGATAGGTAGGTAGGAGTAGCATTATGTAGAGATTTGAAACCAAAAACCAGAATTTTAAATTTGCGGAAGGTTTAAATCGGGAGAGTCAGATCCTCATTGGGTAGCATCAGGATTGTAACATAGAGAAATATGAGTGCATTGTTTCATTAATTACGCTAAAGTCTTTGCATATGGAAAATCGTGTAAGAGCAGCATAAGATGATGGGGAGAAGTACTTACCAGCATCAGTAATGATAGTAAAATTATGCATCGTTCTGCATGGTACCAGGACAGTGCTCCTCAATTGGGGAATGAAATAGGGTGTTTATCAAATAGAACGTGTCCATTTCTCCCGTACTGACTGTTACCGCCACCATGGACAACCTGACAGTGCTTAAACCTTCTATTGCTTGTGTTAATAAACAAAAACTGTTACACCAAAACATGCACAAACTATATTAATGTTTATACCAGGAATATTTAAGTTTCTGAAACTTGGTCACCAGGCTGCACGTGGGCTAAACCCCCCCGGGTACAATATAAAACAAACAAAAAAAGAACATGGACATAACATTTTACCAGTTACTGCATCCAGGGTTCAGTGGTGTAAAAACATTCACCGTGTTTATTAGTGTGATGGAGGCACAATACAAACATAGTAAAAATGTTTAAAAATATCGACAGATCCTATAAAGCACATAAGTCATTTTTACATAAAAAAGGAGGCAGATTATCGTATTTTTCCGTGTTTAAGACGTCCCTATGTATAAGACAACCCCTATTTTTTAAACCCAAAATTAAGAAATCAATATTTTAAACATCAAATAGAACAACTTTGATATTTTAGAGGTGACTTCTGAGAACACACTTCTGATTCCCATGCCTCCTCTGTGCTACGGTACTCTGTGAAGTTAATTGCTCCATAATGCATGCGGGGAGACTACAGCTCCCACAATGCAGCAGGCGGTGTGAGGGCGTGCTGGGAGACTACAGCTCCCACAATGCAGCAGGCGGTGTGAGGGCGTGCTGGGAGACTACAGCTCCCACAATGCAGCAGGCGGTGTGAGGGCGTGCTGGGAGACTACAGCTCCCACAATGCAGCAGGCGGTGTGAGGGCGTGCTGGGAGACTACAGCTCCCACAATGCAGCAGGCGGTGTGAGGGCCTGCTGGGAGACTACAACTCCCACAATGCAGCAGGCGGTGTGAGGGCCTGCTGGGAGACTTCAGCTCCCACAATGCAGCAGGCGGTATGAGGGCGTCCTGGGAGACTACAGCTCCCACAATGCAGCAGGCGGTGTGAGGGCGTGCTGGGAGACTACAGCTCCCACAATGCAGCAGGCGGTATGAGGGCATGCTGGGACATCACAGTAGTATTCCCTCTGCTCCCTGATCCCCATTTACTCCCCCATAAATATAAATCAGAAAGCATGACCTAGCTGAGGTGGAGCAAACCTTAATATGGCTGCTCCTTTCATGGTGTGGCATGTGGCATGGCATGGAGCTCTGTTGTTGGTATGTGCTGATGTCTGCTGTAGCTCCCATACATATAGGGACCTCTTCCTCCTTGCCACTGCATTCGGAAGTGGATCGGTGGGAGAGAGGCCAGGTATGTGTGTGGGCCATGGCACACTGAAATGCGACAGGCGCCATCTTAACTTAGACCCCGCACACAAGTGTTTTGTTTTTTTAACTCCTCCAATGACATTCCGTGTATAAGATGACCCCCAATTTTAGACTAAAAACTGCAAAGGCTTTCTTAATAATAAATTCTGTCGGCATTCAGAGACATTTTCATTTCTGATACCTTACAATGGCGGGAAAAAGTGAAATAGAACACGTTTCTAAATGAAAAATGGCAGAAAATTCCTAAACGCCTTGCACCACTAGAAAAATGGCATATATTCAAAATATTTGATAAGGTACAAGAAAAGCTTTACATGATTTATTAAATTGGGACCCACATTTTCTGCAAATTAGATGTAAAAAGGTTGGCAACACTTTGATAAGTACCCCCCAGTGTGTTTAACAGGCCATGTACGCTAATAAAAGCAGTATTGCTACAGGAGCCGAGCTGGCCATCCTTCCAATCTAGACCGAGACATGTCTGGTAATAAAGCCAGGTGGGGTAAACTTAGTTTATGCTGTCTCTTCGTTTATCGGCTTTCTTGAGCTTCAATCACATGAATGATGGTTTAAGAAACTACGCTAACTCTGGAGCAAACAGAAAATAATTCCTGATCCAAAAGCCGTGTAACAATCCACCGTTCTGTCTCTGGCCACATGCTAATGCCATAACTTTGGAAACATTTCTGCAGGTCCCTCCAGGGAATTACAAAATGAACGTCTCCTTAAACCCGTGAAAAATATTCATACTCCTATATGATTAAAGTGATTGCTCATGCTGCTTGTTAGATTGGGTAAGATGATAATAGCTTTCAGTCTACCTGCTGCTCATTTTTTTTATCTGGGTTTGTCCCACCTGCCGTTGGGCATTTTGATTATTGCTCCTGTATATATTATGACACGTCGTGTACTGAAAGTAGATGATTAAAAGTTGTACCTACTGTACATATTCCACGAATTGGCTCCCTTAAAGGGACACTCTGGGCTCCAATACAACTTTAATGCACGTAAAAGATTTAGGCCTCATGAATATGCTGTATTTATTGCATGCTCAAATGTTTATAGTTTTTGCATTAAAAATAAATGTTTTGTAGAATGCTACACCAAAAACCTGCCTCCGTAGCCCTGCCCAGTCATGGCAGACATTCTAGGTTCCTCTTATTGCACATTCTATTTAATTTAAAATGTTGTATATTCTGCACTGTTGATAGCTTGCTAGACCATGCAGTAGCCTCCTGTGTGTGATTGATTAAAGTTTAATTTACAGAACAGGAGATACAAACATCTAAAGTAAGTTAACATATGATTGAAAAGGAAAGGGACACTCCACTGTCCAAATACAAAATAAATACACATCACTGTTTAGTAGATATACCCCCACTGAAAACATGCATGCATTTAATTATGCTTCTTTTTCCTTGGGTTTATATCAAAATACCTCTTGCAACACTTGCAGATCTCTTGTCTGCAGACTTTGCAAGCCCTCCCCTTCTAACCCCGCCCAGACTTTCTCTGGCTGTCCAATCACAGACTTCCCGATGCAGCTCAATAAGAAGCCTTTCCACTGAGCTAACCAAACCAGGAAGTAACAGGACCAGTTGTCTGATTGACAGACAGAGATGTGTAACAAAGTTAATTTATACAAGTAACAATTTCTATTGAAATATGCACTTTTTGCACACTCTTCACAAATAAAACTTTTCTGAAAGCTAAATTGCTTCAACCATTTTGTTTTTATGCAGTGTGTGTAAGTCACAGCCAGGGGAGATGTGGCTAGGGCTGCCTAAACAGAAACAAAATTGATTTAACTGCTAAAAGGACTACAGATAAGTTTGTTAGAAAAAATCTAACACTTTCTATTCTCCCCTTTATTGACGGCTGGAGATTCCTCTGGTTTTGAACAGGACTTGGCATCTCATAGGTTAAATGCGTAGAAGCGTGCTAGTCATGGTGGCAGTAATTCTGTACCATAGTATTTAGGGTCACATGGAATAAACTAAAGGTTGAAATGTTAATTGAACTCACCAGAATTTAAGTTAAATTTTTATCAAATGAAAAATAAAATCGTTGATTTGGTATGAGATAATATTAGCCACAGGGTTTTTTTTTACTAAAGTGAGCATGAAAAGAGAATTTATAGAGAAATTTACTTAGAATTTTCACTATAGTGATAACCCTGTCCGTCTCACTTTGCACTTATTTGTTTTGTTTTAACACGTGATAAATAAATTAAATTGGTTTTCTAAAGTTTTTTTTTCCTCCAGATGCAATTAGTTAAATTTACTGAATAACAGAATGTAAACAACATGTGAAACATTCTTTAGAGCCAAACCCCGGTAGGGAGAAAAATGAAAAGTATGATAATATCTCTGTTCATCCGTACCATTATCAGATACACCAAATGCTTAAACAATGTACCATGGGAAACTATCTTGAAATACCGGATTGTGGTGACTTGATCCGGAATAATAAATAAGATAAAATCTGGGCTCTTCTTAACTCTCACTATTTTGGCTTAAATGGAAAGGCATTTGTTAAACCACCACAACCAACTGTTTAATAAATAAACCTCAATGTGGATATTGGAAAAAAATACCATTCCTAATATATATATTTTAAATTCTTTATTTAATATACATTTTTCGGCCATCATATGACTAGTCTATACAGCACCTACGTTTTTAAATACAAAATAAAACAGAAAACCAGTTATCAAGCAATAGTCAACCAATTCACATAAACTGAAAAGAAGAAACACAACACGATTATCAAGTACATAAAAGATTTAATTAGGCCACTTTGGCCTTAAATTTGAAATTCACCTTTAATTCACTTTGAATTCTTGCTTTATAACCGTGCAAGTTGCTAGCTCTATCCAAGGTGACGAAACATTGGAGAAGGACATTAGAGAGTTATGAAACATGGCAGCGAGTTCATCCATTAAATAGTCGTCACCTATTCAGATAGAAACATAGAATGTGACGGTAGATGAGAACCATTCGGCACATCTAGTGTGCCCAATTTTCTAAATACTTTCATTAGTCCCTAGCCTTATCTTATAGTTAGGATAGCCTTATTCCTACCCCACGCATGCTTAAACTCCTTCGCTGTGTTAACCGTAAATTGATCCTAACTTCAGACATGGAAGAAACTACTGGTTTCAAACAACTTTGCCGTCAGAGCCCTCCTAATAACCAACATATTATTAAACAATTTTGGGAGGATAGAGGAATATTCTCAATAATTTTGGACAATAGAAAACCCAAATATCTAAGTTGAACTGTGTGTAAACATTTGAGATAAGAGAGCTGTGATACTTTCCCAGTAAGGAATGACCTGCGGACATCCCATCACATATCTTTGTACATGTCTTTAAGGCTGCAATAAAGGCATCATACAATCTGTTGATGGTCTCCCCATTTTATACTGCCTTATGGGGTGGTGTACCATCTCAGGAGAATCACAAACATTTGTCCTTACAATCCCACAGTAATCAAAACATTACATGCAGCTTCCAAGTCTCAGGGCTCTGCGTCTGACAGTTCTCACAAATTCCATTCCAGCTGCTTCACATAAGTAAGTGCTAATTGGAGCTAAGAGCAGTATACAGTAAGTATCTGAGGTCCTTCTCATTCAAATGCTGCTCACATACAGCTCCAAAAAAGGAGATAGTGAAAGTACTCCTTGGAAGAACAAGTACTCTTTAGATAACCCATGAAGAGTAACAACAGTTAAACCCTTATGAAAGTGCTGTAAACCCTGAAGCCCCACTTTTCGATTGGTTAAATTCCTAGCAACCATCCGTGGGGGAAACT